CGAAGATGCCGCAAATTTTTCTTAAGTATGATATTTTAATCCATTTAGCGATAGTGCTCTACACTTCATCTAAAATACATTCTAATCGATGCTCTATATCGTACACGGCGAATAGCTGTAACCTAAAATATTACCTAATGATCAATTTTCTACGTCAACCATATTAGTTTTAAATTTTCAATTCGTTCCAATTCAGAAATCCGTTCAAGTTCGGTTTATGAAAAGAAATTCTACACAACCTTTTTTCCCCGCTACACACGAATACTGTTGGACACGCATCGGATTTTTAATCGGTTAACTGGACTGTTTCCTACATACCGTTTCAAACGTATTTTCAAGAATGTGAACAAAAATAAAAATAAAAATACGTTTCGCGGTTATATCGATTATGATCGGTTTTAGTTAATCGATTAAAAATTCGGTGCGTGTTCAAAAGTAATAATGCGTAGTGGGGAAAAACCTTTATGTAGAATTTCTATTCGGAAACCGAGCTTAAATAGGTTTTGGAGAACAAGTTTACGAACTGAATAAGAACCGTTTCTGAAAGGGTATTTGAACTCAGGAAAACCTTTTTCAAGGGTTTTCAGAAATGTTACTATATGAAACGCATTTGGGTATTTCAGAGTCTGTGGCTAGCAAAAACAAAGTCAAAAGTCATCAAAACTCTTTCATTTTTTTCGACGGTTTGATCGAGTCTTTCCGTTTTGCATTGTATCAACGAGCTTAAACTGTGAAGAATTTGTTGCTGACGAGACGAGTTTGCGTGAAACTGTATTCTCATCTATTGGCACAAAATGGTGCAATTCTCTAATTCTTTTAATTGAACTTTTAGCATCTGGTAACTGACTCCATCGATGTTTTAAGCTTGATTCGAAAGTCTTTTGTAGGAAACCAAAGAGTATAAATAGCTGCAACTGACACAATGTTTTTAGCACAAAAAAACGTCTAAAACCTATCAAAACCTCACGAGTTTTCTAGAAATCCCACAAAAAACCCATTCTCACACAAGTGTCTTGATGTCAGATCTGGATTCTGCGCTAAAAATAAAATAAAAAGTGATTTTCATCGGTTTTGACCCGCAATAATAACAGAGAATTCCTTAAGAACCCTCTGGATTTCCAGAAGCCTTTTGGCCTAGATGGTGTGAACCGACACGAGTTCTTTTTACTGAAATGTATAGAACTCACTTCGCTCTTTCATTTGAGACTAGAATGAAGGTTCTACGACATGTTCTCTAGTTACACGAAGCTTTGCAACGTAGGTCATTTCGGTTGGAAAATGAAGAAAAACGGCATTTTTCGCTGGGACAGTATTTTGCGTATAACTGTTTTTTAGAAAAAGATAGAGAGCTGCGGTTTTCACCATTGAAGTCAGCGTCCAAAACTGCATCTAGCAATTTTTATTAAGCCGCTGACGTAACTAGTTTTGTATAATGTGGTAGAATCCTTGTGGATTAACCCACCCACGAGAGGACAGGGACAGAAACGAGGGCGTCCACCGGGAAGACGTGGTCTAACTATTCGTGCAAATATAAAACAACGACGAACGAATAGCGAGGAGATGGAGTTGATGATAGAAGCGATCAAAGTAACATGGAAGTAAATCAAGAAAACAACGAAAATCAGGAGATGGAAGAAGAGAATAGTAAGCAGCTCAATTGCTCAGATCAGTGACCAGCAATAAGTTGAGTGTCAGTTGAAGTATCAAGTGATGAAAACGATCAAAATCAGCCTACCACGTCCGCTTTAACAACACCAAAGCCAAAGTCATCTACAAAAAGTTATTTTAAATTAATAGCCTCAAACACTTATCAGTGTAAACTATGTACTTAAGTCTAATTGACTTTACACTTAAATAATGATCGTACGTTCTAGTTTTTCTTATTAGTTAAATAAATAAGAAATAGATTCTAAGGTGAGATAGTCTAGAACCACAAATACAAAGGTTTTCATGGAGGATACGAGGAACAGGGGGTGTTTCGACCTGATATTTATTCCATCTGAAACTGAAAAATCAGGCGAAGAAAAAATCACTATCTTTTTCAAATAATAAGAACTGTGGATGTTTGTTGCATAACTTCGAAACGAAACGAGCTAGAGACACTGGATTTTCATCATTAAAAGCAAGAGTCTTTGAGGTATCTTTCTATAACAGATATAAATTCAAAACTATTTTTTTAAAGTAGGTTTCCGAGGAGACCTTTAGGAAACCGGTTCATAGCTCAAAAGCTTCAAAAACAAAAAAATCTATATTGGGTGGAATAAGCCATGTCTGTCTATTTTCGCGTAAAATTAGGAAATTCATAATTCAGTAAAAATCGAACCAGGCTACCTCAGACTATCAAGATACACTCGATTTTATCTATTGAATGAGATTCTATAGGTGAGAGTAGTAAAAAACATTTTCTTACTTCGGAAGAGTTCCAGAAAACCTTTGGAAAAAGAGAAGTATTTTATGTTGATTTATAACAGTTCTATCGAACTCCATGATATGCTGCAGATAAAATCGAGTGTATCTTGATATTCTGAAGTAACCTGGTGCGATTTTGACTGAATTATGAATTTCCTAATTTTACGGGAAAATAGGCAGAAATGAATTATTTCACCTAATACAGATTGTTACTAGGTTTTTGAACATTTTTCGAAAAACACAAATGCTGTCATGAGACTCAGCGTGGTCGATAACCTATGTTTTCATGCGTTTTGAAATTTCTAAATATCAAGAAGGTCCGGTTCTGAGGTGTCTCAGAAAAAGTCCACTCCTACACCACCGATCGCAGATGAATCTGTCGGGTTTTGGCAGATATGTAGACCAGATGTCGCTCGATTTTAGGGGTATTTTCAAGCATTAGACTTGTAGAAAACGTTAGGGAGCGACAATCTTGTCTTGTCTAATGACATTTCGTATTAAATTCTATGGTAATGATTGATGATTGATATTGTTGTATATTTATTACAGGCATTTAATATAAATGAATATTATCGTTTTGAAAACGTAACTCATAATCTTACATACAATTATCGGATTTTATACATGAATAATACAAATCAATGCTGATAAACCAATTGGCAGTTTACATTTGCAAATACACTTTCTTACGATAATCACATTAAATGATTTACTTTTTTGCTGATGAAGGCATGTTTTTGCTAATCCATAAAGAAAAAATTCATTTTATTTATTCTGAAAAATTAACATAATTCATTGAAAGGAAAAATGTTTTTTTCCGATAACAAATTAAAGCACCTAAGGAGTAAACGTCCTTACGTTCTAGTGTAACGTATTTTTATGAACATCCTGCTAAACGTTAACTTTTTTTTTTCTCAAAACCAATTATATGGTTCTACAGGCACATTTAGCCACAAAACGTTTTATATTAGATATAGATAATGAGCTCTAATACATGTACATGACAACTAGCTACTTTCACACTCAAATAAGAAGTGATTTGTTCAACTAAATTCGTTTCTCGGTGGATAAACTGAATAAATACATACCACCAACGTAGTGGTGCAAGAAACAAATGCATCCATTCATGATTATACGTCCCATAACATAACGCTAGTACTCCATGAACGATGATGGTGCCTGCGCGCGTCAGTGGAGCGTATGCATCATAGCGCACTGTCTGTTTTATTTCCATAACGCGAACTTCTGTTATTGAACGATTTTGGACAACATAAACGTAGTCGCCGATCCGAACTTCAAATGCAAATTTGTACCGTCTATTGGTTTCATTGAATTTACGAACTAATAATGAATGACTCGCAGTTAGACATAATGGCTTATTAGTAAACGATGTATGAATTTCTAGATAATTTTTAGATTCTTTTTCAGAATACGTTTTGTGCTTAAAAACGGTCAGCACAGTATCCCACTTGACTTGTAAACGATTGTCAAGGTATTCAGATACTAGGATTCGATCACCACTTTTTAAATTGCGTATCATTTCTGCTGTGCCATCTTCTTTTAGCACCGTTCCGGTACCATCAAAGCAAACGCCACTTGATTTGGGTGTAGTTGTTCTTCGTGTTGTTGTAGTAGTAGTAGTGGTGGTAGTTGTACGGAAGTTCCTCTGGTATGTCCGCAAGTTTCTTCTCAGAGAATTTGCAAACGTGCGGTTGACTCAGCAACCTTCATCTACTCTGTTAGTGATATTCATCTAAGGCATTTCAGAACGAATTTCTTATTGCACTCTATAATAGTTACCTATTTTTTAAAATTACTTTTTATTTTAAAATTTTGTAACGTATAGTAGAATTCCTAAAATACACCGATGTCTTTCTCGATTTGTATCTTAGTAGTCGTCGTAGTGGTAGTTGTTGTTGCTGGCGGTTTGGACGTCACTACCGCAACAGGTACAATAATGATAATAAGACAGCCCACAATCAGAATCGACAATAACATAATGGCCTTTTTACTACATGAACTGGGAGGAGGGATGTTTTGGTGAATGACTGGAATTGTATAAAGCGAGGCACGACGTGGCACATCTCTGACATTTCTAGGATTGCGATGACAGTTTTCCTACAAGTGCCAAAATTATCTGTGAACTCAGAACAAGAGTATTTTTTTGAATTTCTTTCAACGTACTTCGTGCTCGTGTGAATGATGAACATTAATTTGGCTGTTGCAATACACGCATTGACGTGTTTCAGGAGGTCGATGTGGGTAGTTAGGATAATGGTGATGCTGCGGGAATATGAGGATTGAAGGATGATCTCCACTTGAAGGAATCAGGGGATTCTAATAAAAAAATTCATAGAGCACTAATAAACATTCCTCCAGCCACTGAGCTTACCGCGTAGGTGCCCAAACGTTTATATTGGGACTAACTACTTCGTAACGATTCTATTAAATTCATGACATACAACAACACTCTGCATATCATTTTATGAAAGCAAAGGAAACACTACGCAAAACTTTCATTCGTTAAACAATTTGAGCTTAACATAAGGCAACTAAGACGATTTCAGCGATGTTTCCAAAATTAGGGTTCCTTAACTATAGCTTACCACTCTGCTTAACGTTGCCGGTTGCGGGGAACGTATTCTTGTGGGTGCTAAGGACCTTTGGAGATGCGCAAATGTAGGTCGATTGGCTGGACATTGTGACATGCATTTTGAAATAATTGACCACATATTGTTTTGGCAGTTCTCCGGCTGTTCAACTCTTTTCTCTTGTAAAACCAGGTGACGAATTTCGTTATCATCATGTATATTTGACCAAGGTATTTCACCTTTTGAATAGGCTTCCCACATCAAAACACCCATTGAAAACATATCCGACCTTTCTGAATAGGAAAGACGGGAATTAGGATCCCGGAGAACTTCAGGTGCAGCGGATCGACATGGAATAGTGGTTATGGCTGTAGCGGAAGAGTTTACAGATGCATACAACATACTGTTCTGACTGAGACCAAAATCTGTGAGTTTTACAAAACTGTTTTCGGGTTCCATTTCGTCAAAACGAAACACTAACACATTTCGACATGCTAAGTCTCCGTGAACGATTGTATTTTGTACAAGATAATCCATTGCTTCGCATATTTGTATGAATATCACACGCAGAATATTTTCACTGGGTGTTCTGCCTAAATCCAAAAGAAAATTGTATAAGTCTCTGTCAGGAGCCAATTCTTGAAGCAGAGTAACCATATTGTTGTTTGGTGTGTTCGACGGCACAAGGACCAGTCCATATGTCTTGATTATATATCGATGATGGCTCAAATCAGCATAATACGATGCTTCTTTTTTTGCTTTAGCACCAGTTATTTGTAATAAAACAATGGGTGGTCCATTCAGTCGCACCCATTCTGCTTCAAAAATATGTTTTCCAGCGGTTGAAAATACAGGCCGTCTATTGGGCTTTTTTCTAACATCTTCATTGAGAATATACTGATATTTCTGACGCACAGCAACTTTTTTGAATTCTTCTACAAGTTGATGTACAACAAAATTGGGACGCAATGCCTCTATGTATAGTGTTTGTCGAGTTAATGGACTTGTATGATTATTATTTATCCATTCTTCGATGGCTCTTCTTTCATAGGTATGACCATCGTCAGCCATAACAGGATCGTCAAAGAGTTCAAATGTGATGGGACAAATCAATGGCTCCTTTGATATTTCCACTGTACCGTCTAAGTGGTTCATTTTAAGCTGAGCTATGAAAATTTGACTAGTTTAAGTTAATTAGTTAAGGATTAGTTCATATGACATGTTACGACGTTACTTCATTGAGTCTTTCTTCTTTCTTTAAAATTTTATACTTCAGTAAACTATCGCCTTATTAACACTTCACCACGTACTAGTCACTCTACTCTATCAAAAAATTATGCTTCCTTCAAAGATTTAATAGCTAGTGAATGCCTGTTGGACGAATGGCTAAAATCTGAATGAAAAAAATCGTGAGCTCGTATTCTTACTTTGAACTGATAATAATAATAAACGCTTATCCTCAAAATATGAGCGCTTAGAGAAGTAAAATAATTTTGCGTTTTATGGTTCTCCACGCTGCTGCGAAAACGAACACCAGCAATGGCTGATTTTATCTGTGTATTTGACTGCAGCCATTGTGACATTCCTTCATACTCAATGACTTGTAATTGTGTACAGTTTTGTTAAAGAAATAAAGGTCAAAATAACAGGAAAATAATTTAAGTGACTCAATTTTTGGTATAAGAAGTTTTCTTCAAATTGTAGTGATCGTTGCAATCTACGGTAGCTATCAAACCGATGAGTCATCATATACACTCCACCGACTATACAGTAAGATTAGAAATGATTTATATTACACTTTTTCAGCTCTTATCTGGCAAAGCTTACCTGTAATTTTCTTCCAAGTAATAAATGTTTTATTGATATCTATCTATATGGGTACAAACCCGAAAGTATTTCTTTAATGACAGAAGATTAACTTAATATAAATTCAATAGATGCAGCTATTTTATGATGTAACGTGAAATGCGAGGGAGAAAAATTATCCTAAACACGAAGTTTCACCATGGACGAGTAATCAGCGAAAAAAGTGTACCCAGATAGGCAATCGACAATGGAGAATTCATTAGGACCGGTTTCGAGAATCTAGGAGTTGTTAAAACCGTCGGCTATTTCTACCCACGGACGGTTTTTCGACGCTATTAGATCCAACGTTTGGCTAAATAATTTTCACCTTGTCGTTTTTTAAGAAACATAAAAACGTATGGAAACAACGCAATCAGCCAGACAACAAAGTGAAAGCACGTGCCATATATCGCCGTCATCAGGTGATCAAAAAGGACATGTTAAGAACATGTGCCCTAACGGCACATGTCCTTCACTACCGTTTATGAAGTATGTAAAAGATATTGGGAAGACGATGGATTCTACTAATCGTTAAAAAACAAGAATGGCTCCCGATATTTTTTGAATACTTTCCAACGAAAAGAGCTAGAATCTTGCGGTTTCAGCATTCGACAGAGGACAGTTTGGGAAGTAGATCTGTGAAAAAATTCAGGCGCCGGATCTGGTTTAGTATGGTAAGCCATTGTACACAAAATGTCCGAGCTTGCCGCTTCTACGCCAAACAATGGATTTTGAATTCGGAGACATCAGCTAGAACCGCCAGGCCGTCCGCTTTCAAGCTATTCAGGTTTTCATTTCCAATGGTTGAGGAATTCAGAGGTTTTCCAAGGACCTATCTATCAACTAAATTTCATGTTTGGAAACTTTCAAAACGCATAAAACATAAGTTATCGAGCACGCTGAATCTTATGACAATGTTTGTTTTTCGACAAAGCTTCAACTAGTTAGTGAATCTACACAAAAAGAAGTAAATTAGTTTTTACTATATCCACCGAAAACTAAAAAATTCATAACTCGGTCAAAATTGTTCGAACCTCCTTCAAAATATCAAGATATAATCCATTTTATCTGTGTTATACCATGAACTTCAATAATAATTTTAAAAGCTAACAGAAAGTACTTTGGTTTTTGAAAAATTTTCTAGAAAGTTTTGTACTAATTTTTACTACAAAATAAGGTTAAGCATAAGCCTGCAAAAATCCAGCGTTCTTTTTGAACGTGAACACTATGGCACGTTGGCGTTCCTAGAACGTGAACGCTAAACATGACGTTTTTTAATGATCTGGTAAACGTAAACTTTATTTCATATGGACGGTGTTGATCTTGTGTGGAATGAATAGTATTGCAAAGCGTTATATAGCAATTTTACCTAGTAGTATACCAAGCGAAACAACTTTCTCCATTATCAGTTATATTTAGTGTAAAATCAACGCTCGTTTGCATGGGTCACGATAACAAAGGAAAACGTATGTAGTTACTGAAATGGTTTGGACCAAGGAACTTCAGTTTCACTGCATGAAAAACTAGTCCTCTGGTCAGGAAATCCGCGATCTGTTCTTGGAAGAACCAGTGTCCTGATCGGAGAACCAATGACTATCCCTTTTACATTGCGATAATCTGGTCACTGCCCTGAGCAGACCATCTGATTGTTAATAGAATTTCTATTGATTAGATAAGGTCAAGTAGAAATATATATGTTCTTTCTACAGTAAGTACAAGAACAGAATTTTATATTTACGTCAGACAATATGAACACCGTTCGTATAAAAATAGCTGACGTTCACCACTACTTTAGCGTTCACGTTCAAGGAACGAAACGTGAACTTTTACAGGCCTAGTTAAGCAGATAAAAATATCCTGACTACACTATCAAAAAAAAGTGTCTTAATAAAGCACTCGGTTGGCTTAAAAATACACCCACAGTGCGTTTTGAAGACACGTTAGGTGTATTTTCTCATCTTTTTACTGTTATTCGCCTTCTTGTCTTCGAAAAAACACCTCTAAGTCGCTGCTTTTTTAGAAAAAAATAGCTTAGGTGCATTTGATAGACATCACCAATATATCAAAAACGCACAATGCAATTGCTACGGTGAAGACCCTTAATCACCCATCAGCCACGGATAAATCACGTAGTCATATTTAAGGCATTGAAAATGCTACGAGACTCTTGTTAGACTCTGAGTCATACTGGTAGCTACTCAAGATATAATGTTTTAATAATGTCTCCTAATAGAAATGATAGTTTCTATTCCTTCTTTATTGATTGCTTTATCGATGAAACACGTGTCAAATAGGTACAGAGACTATTGTTTTTAATACCCTGGACTACAGTCAAGAAGAGAGTTTGTGAGGGGTGAGGGTGAGGGTTTGTTCAATTTATTTTTTTCCACAATGTGTTTATCTGTTTCTTATTTGATTTAACATAAACGTTTCATCCTGCTCTACTGTTATTGAGTTATTTTTAGTTTATTAGCTGTTTTATTTTTATAATCTGTTGCTTGCTTATTTAATTTTGGGACATGTTAAAATAAAATGTTTTTCGTAGTAGCCTACTTTTACAAGGCATCCCGGCGTAGTTAATACATCGTCAATGTCTTAAGAACATCAGGATGTCTTACTATCCCCTTGGCCAGAAATAGTTAGACAGAAGTATTTATAACATATCATTACTATAAAATTATATTTTTAGAAAAGTAATTACATATTCTGGTAGCGCTTGAAATTTTCTATTAGTCTCTGCTTTTCCAACTTGGATTCGAAATTATTTGCTAGCAAAAATTTTGAAAATTGTTAATGTTAACCTCTACCTGTCACATTCCCACGAATTGTAACGGGTGCGGCCTCTCAGTATTTTCTATTTTTCCTGTATTTCTTTAGGACCCCAACGTTAATTTTTTTCTTAATAAAAAGATGCGCTGCAAAATACTGTACAAAACCATACCTAAACTTTACTTTCAGAACGTCAATCAAGAAAACTACGCATATTATATGAAAGACGAAAAAAATGAAAGCTTTGAAAATCTGGTATTTTTTTCCACTTGAACCTTTTTCTTCAGCTATTATTGCCGTAAAAGAGGATTGCAATAGTGAGAACTCAGTTCTTTTTGTACTTTTAAATGTGCTCTTTCTCATGGTCTGTAGAAGAAGAAGAGTTAGTTGAAGAAGCATGGAATATAATCCATGGGAATGCGATACGTGAGTACATTAACAGTATTCCAAATATTTGTCAGCAAAGAATTGCAGGTCAATACCGGCAAAGTACAGGATCATAGAAAATTTCACGCGCTTCCAGAATATATACTTACTTTTGTAATAACTTGTTTCTATGTTTAAAATAAATATGAAAAATGAATGAGAAAGGAATAAAAAGTGCATTTTCGGGGTATTTGACGATGAGGGTGCCTTCACTGTGCTTGAATTTCTTTTTAATGAATAAGTGCAATTCAAAACGTACATATATAGGGTTGTAGAGAATTCTGCGCACTATACGCATATACAATTACTTTTCTAAAAATGTAAATTTATAGTAATAATATGTTACAAATACTCTAACTATATTCGGGAGAAAAGTGGATTTTATTAATTTTTCGTAAAACTTGATCTCTATAAAGCGACGCCTATAACTGGGGAAGGAAACACTTAGAGCGCCATCTTTTGACTGTAACTAGTCTACATTGGTTCTATTTCTGGTAAAAGTCACAGACCGATCGGTGATATCGCGTATCTCAGTCTGTGGGGCCCTATGTGATAATGGCTCTTAAATTGGTAGATTTACATCGATTAATTGTCAGGATTTTATATATGGATCACTGATGAGTAGAAGAGATATTCTCTGTCGATCATAAAAATTTCAAATAGAAACGGTTAACATTCGTTGAGTTAAATCAATTTTTCTAAAAAGATGGTCGAGAAGAGACTGTACGAAATGACTGTCTTAAATCGAGAGTCATTTGTAGGATTATACTAGATTTAGATGAATAGACAACCCAGTTATTAATCTTTACTTTAGATATGATGCAAGGTTGATGAAGAAAGTGACTAGTAGCTCCTCGCACTTGCTCCACTATCGCGGGACAGCATGGTGACCCTCAATTAGAAACTTGCTCAGACGACTGATCAAAAAACATATTTGATAATTAAGACTCAAAGGAACTACCAGACAATCCATCATTTCCTTGTGAAGAAAAAGGTGGAACAACTGGTATGGGAAGAGAGGAATCCATGACTATAGCATGATATCTCAGGAACTGAAGAAGAACTTCAACTTACCTGATATGAAAGTGATTGAGTGCGTTGTTGTTTTTTATGTCTTCGACGATAACAATATTCTGAACCACGTGTTAGAGCCCTGCGGATTTGAGATTTTCGAACCCGTTCAGAACTTTTTCGGACCCCGAATCCAATCCCGACTTTTTCAAATAAAACCCGTCCCGAACCCGCTCGAACCCGAAATATTTTTTTTCTAGTGAAGTAGTGCTCTCTTTCATTTTAACATTAGTAAACTTCTACTCGTAGAGGTACAAAAATAAAATTCACTTGGTCGGTTGTACGTCTGGTGCGAAACACCTGTCCGTTTTCCTTATTTTCCATTCTTTTTTATTTATTTAGAACTATCTCTTATCTTCCCTATATCAAACTAGAAGAATCAAGATCGGAAACAAACCCGTTCCCGAACCTGTTCAAATGAACTGAAACCCGTCCCGAATCCGAACCCGAAAAAAAGCTTTCGAGATCAGGTTAAACCCGCAGGACTCTACCACGTGTACTGTTTTTTTAAATGATTTCCTAATCTGGTGAAGGGCAAGAGCAGCCCGAATGAGAGTGGTGTTCTCCATGATTTAAAAAAAGGTTTTTTTTCGGAAAGTGAGACTTGTTGGAGCGCCCAGGTAAGAAAATACTAACAGCACAACTGTCGGTCGCCTTTAGGGCTAGCGCGAAACAACGACAGATCCGACCCAGGAGCATTTATAAGAAAAATTAAGGTAACATTTGTGATCAGCGCACGAAAACTGCATCGAATGATGTACTGCTCGACTATATTCTGCCTTTTTTCCATAGGAAAGGCGGCAAATCTTGTGTTCTTCTGTTATACATGAGTAAAAGATCTTTTTCTCCAAAAATGTTTCCTGCTCGCCGTCACTGTCTCCCGTTAACACATTCAAAGCGCTAATAATTCACGTCACACATCTTATTCTTTTTCACGGCCTCTGCAACTGTTTTTACCCCTTCATTTGATACATTGTTGTTCCACATATAAAGAGTTGTTAATGTCTGGTTTGTTTTCAAGGCTTCTGCAACTGCTTTTGCCACTTCAGCTGATATATTGGTGCCACCACCAAGAGGTGTTGTGCCATTAGACCTTAATTTTTCTATAATTTCTTGCTGTTTCTTGGGTAGTTTTGTCAGATAAGTTTCCGATAAACTTGATTTTTCCAGTTGCGTTCCAGCTGATGGTGGCGTGGTCGATAAGAACGGTGAGAAGGGTAGCTTTGGAGAACCTGAAGAGGAAGCAATGAAGCTGGAAGACAGACATGCAAGGTCTTTTTTTTCTAACATGAATACTGTATGGAGCTTTGCAGGTCATACTTTACTGTCAACTTCACAATGCAGAAAGAATGCATTAAAGAACTAGTGAATATTTTGATGAACCCTTTTTGCGTGACCTACTACAGTTATGCTGTTTGATTACGGTACGGTAATAGGTGAACTCCCTAGGTGTAAAGTGTGATTCTCCATCAGAAAAAACAACCTACATCAAAATATTTTTGACATTTTGATAGATATGGAAACATAGGTAAGATCTGACTGAGCTTCACAAAAAAATAGACTATTTACGTCCCCGTAGACTCTATTAAATCTCTCTGTCGACAAAGGTAAACTGGGTGTAATCATAAGTTACCCCCTTTCGCTTTTCCTTGGTTGCGGAAATCTTCGTGTACTCTAATCTTTTGAATCCAAGAAGATTGTTGTTTATCTTCTTCGACGCGGAAGTTCGATGGATCGATAAGTTCATTTTTTTTTCAGCTCCCTATTGACTGCGGACCACTTCTGACAGGTTCAGATCGGATACAGTCTGTCGACATCGCAACTTGTGAGTACCGCAATTGCTCTCTAGTTATGTTTGTTTTTTGTAGGTAATGCACATAAATTTAAACGTTGATGTTAATGTAAATTAACTTGAAAGAATATGAATTTACACTAAATTATTTTTGATTATTTGCACGAATTCGACAAGTGCAATTCATATAAATCAACCTTTTTTTTCAAAGTCGTTCACATGAATACGGAACTCTTTTCGTTTGGTTAAAATCAACTTACATTAGCTTCACTCTTTAGTTTAATGCAAATGATTAGAAAAAAACTAATGTAAATTAATTTTAATAGGACAAAAGTGCAAGAATTAATTTCAATTTTTACATTCACCGAAATCAGTTTATTTTCTTCAGTTAATTTGTTTGAATCAACAGAAGTTAATGTAAACTAATTAGAAACCCAAACTGATCCAACTAGAAAATAAATTACATTGAATGAATGTGAAGACAAGATTTTCTTTTTTTTATTTACTTAAGGGGGGGGGGGGGGGGGGGGGGGGGGGGGGGGGGGGGGGGGGG